TGAAATTAACCATGATAAAATATTGGATCACGAATTCCAATAGAATGAAGTTTTTCAGAGAGAATGGAATGAGTTACTTTATCGAAGGCTTTAGAAAAATCAGTATATATTACGTCTACTTGGCATCCTGAAACAAAAGCATCGAGAATAAATTTTTGAAAAATTAATAAATTAGTCGTTGTTGATTTTCCCTTTATAAATCCATGTTGATCATTATTTATTACTGGTGCAAGTACCGGATATATTTTTTTTGATACTAAGGATTCAAATATTTTTGGAATAATAGAAATAAAGGAAATCGGCCGATAATTAAATATATTAGACAAATCATTTTCTTTTTTTATTGGTGTAACATGGCTAATTTTCCAGTCTGAAGGAAAGTAACCAGAAGAAAAAGATAAATTAAATAAGTGTAATAACGGAACACACAAAACAAATTTACATTCTATAAAGAAACAATTTGATATCATATCTGGACCTGGACTTGTTTTATTATTAATGATATCAAATTCATTTAGAACGTCGGTAATGTTCAGTGTACATGAATGTAGGTTAATATCAAATAAATTATTTAAGACAGTGAACGATAATTTATTTGTAGATGTTGGCGTAATTAAATTATTTACATAATTACATATACACTTGAAAAATAACTAGCAAAACAATTAACAATATCTTTACCACCACTTATTACATTATTGTTATAAGACATTGTATTTGGGAAGGTTTATTTTGATTTTTTTTGACTAAAAAATGTCCAAAATAGTTTAGGATTAGAGTTTAAAGAAGATTACATTTTAAGAATAAAATTATTATAATCTAATTTGGATCGAGATTTACAATGAGCACGTAAGTTAGAAAATTTATTGTAATTTGATTGTGAGGGAGTTTTCTTGAATAGCAAATGGGCAATTTTTTTCTTATAAAAACGAGCTAAACCATATCGGATGTTTAATAGTAAAAATATATGTTTTCTTATTACAGTAATTATCAATAATTATAAAAACATGGTAATAAAAGACATTAACTGCATCATTAATGTGTAGACCCTTAAATACGACTTCCCAATTAATAATTGCTAATGAAGATCTTATAATCTTATAATCACAATTTACGTAATCGTATACAGTATCGTGATTTTTTACTGTATTAAATTGTTTTAAAAAGATATGAGAAATTAGCTAATGCGTCATCTTCAATTTTACCAAAGTGAGAAACAACTTCATCACTCACAGTAGACCACTGAATAGCGGGTAAATTATAATCTCCTAATAATATAATCTTAGAATTACTATATTGACATAACAGATTATTAACTTATATCAGTATGATTATTATATACATTTAAACTAGAGTGTGGTGGAATAAATACAGCACCAATAATAAACAAAGAAGACCCAATTGTTAACTTTACAAATAATTGCTCAATGTTGTTGTTGTGGATGGTTATTTGACTGCAATGATAATGGTTTTTGATGGCAATTAGAACACCACCTCCTCTTATATCATTATCGTTTACGGTACATCTATCACAGCGAAAAATAGAATATTTTGGAAGGAGGCCAAGTTCACTGTCGTTGACATCTTGCCGTAGCCAGGTTTCCGTTAATGCCAATGAAATTATAATGACTATAAAAATAAACTGTGCTTATATATTTTTTAGATTTTTTGGTAACAGAATTAACTACTTACGTGGAATCTTGTTTTAAATTTTCAATCCTTAGATATAGAAGTTGAACATTTTATAGAATTTAACTACAAAATAATTATTCAATGTTAAATTTGATAAATTTTGTCAAAATTCAATCTTTAAATGCTTTAAAAAAAAAAATTGTGACAATGTATTTTTAATATTTTTCAACTGCTATTCTAACAATATATCAGGAGCCTTGTTTTAAATTTTTACATTTTTTGATACAACAGATAAAACTTTATTGATATTTCAGAAAAAAAAAACTTAAAATTGAAAACTATAAATGTCCGTAAACAGCTCAAAAAGGGTCAAAATATTTTCAAAATTGTACAGTGTATAGGAAATGCTAATATAAACATTCAGTGAAATTTTCATGTATCTGCAGTTATTTGTTTTTGAATTACAACAAAATAAGGAAATCGCTACATGTGAAATTGAGTGAATATCCAATGTTGTAAAAATTTGAATTTTTTATAGACATTTTTTTTTGATAACTGTAGATAATCTTATAAGTAATCTTGTATTACATTCTAAAACCTTAGATTTAAAAAGAAAAATTTTACGAATTCTTAACTCAAAATAATTTGCTAATTTCCGTGATTTTTCCATATTTTGACAATTTTTGAAATTTAAATGTTTAGAAAAAAAAACTATGACCAACGATTTTTAATATTTTTCAAATGCCATTGTAATAATAAGTAGGAGCTTTGTATTCAATTTTTAAGCTTTTTTAACCAACAAATAACATTTACTTGATATTTTTAGAAAAAAAACTAAAAAAAAATGGAAAATGAAAATGTTCCTAAACAGTTCAAAACAAATCATAATATTTTAAAATTTCATCTTGTATAGAAAATACAAATATAAACAACCTGTGAAAATTTCACTTGTATACGTTCATTTTTTTTAGAGTTACACCAAAAACCAAAACCAATATTGCCTAAAAATTCCAGTTTTTCCTTATTTTCAAGATACTGTTGAAGAAAATCAGTCAGCACAGAGGATTCTCGAGAGCAAGACGTGCAGCCTTGCAGGTTAATATAAAATGTTACCTAACCAGCTATCCAATGTATTATTTATTAAGAATCACATAATAATATAATATAATATAGGGCTATAAGTTATAATAGACTTTTGAAAAAAAGTGTTCGATTCGCATGTTTTTCATTAATTACCTATTCGTAAACATTTTATTGACACATAGTTTTATCATGCAATTTTGCGTAAAACATCAAATAGGTATAGATGCATAATAAATGTATTACAAGTTTTTCATTGAATAAGTGGCTGACAAACATAAGATCATTGTTATGTAAATGCTGTAAGTTCAGTATAGTTGGCATCAATTCAACCTAGACGGAAATACTAATATTGACTTGTGAATTTTAAACTATAATTTTTGTAATTTTTATTCCATTTTAAGCATTTTAAAATGAATATAATATTATTGCATTTTTTTTGACATTTTGGATGCTTTTTTTAAGGTTTTTTGGTGCATTAAATTCACAGCCCTGGTTATTACTTATTAGGATAACCTACTACTATCCATTATGAATAGTTAAAAATATCTATTTTAATTTTGAACCAAAAATACCTCTACATATAAAAATATTTATATTACGAGGTTTCTAAAAAAAAATTATTTAGAGTTCACTAAACCGTAGGTACCTATCTCGTCATTGAGTATAGGTTATAAAATGTCAATAATAATGATCTCAAAAAATGTCTTTATTTAAATCAAATTAATACATTTCTAAGGTTTTGATAGTTTGCTCGCACTGTTAAAAGCATTTGCTAAAAACTATATAGATTATATTGTTATATTCTTCTTCGTTTCAACAACCATCGACTCCACCACGATCATTGCAGCGAGTATAGGCCCCATTTTCACAACGTCCGATAACGACAACAACCAACACACCAAAACAAAATAAAACAAAGATTTACTCGTATGTAAATTGAAACATTAGTGTGATTAAATCATTTACCGGAAGCCAAAGGACTTCCAACCATATTCCTCGCGTCCGGCAACTTCTGCAAGAAGCTGCGATGGGACGGACGCTCCAGGAAAAAATACCTGTTAATAAAGTTGAAATAACATTTTAATAAAAAACTATGTGTTATGTGTAACACAAAGTCGTTCACAAATTCCATACCGGAAGTACTTGGGACTTTTTTTTGTTGACGCATCAAATCATATATTATAGGTACGCATAATTTCCATTCTACTATAGACTATAAGTGAATAATAAGTGCAAGGGAAGGCAAAGATCCACGAACATTACCCTGCCCCCCACCCATTTTGACTTCCGAAATAATTGTTTTTGCACCAATAATGAGTACTCAATTCCTGCTGAATCCTGACCATATTTTCATAATTCCTCCTCTACTGGTTTTAACTTAAAATCTAATTTTGTAATTCTGTAGTAATGTAATTAACTTTTATTAACTTTTTGTAATTTTTTACTCAATTCCTGCCGATTCCTGAGCAGACGGAAAAAAAAAATTGGTATGGTAAATGGTTAAAAACATAATAGTTGATATTACCATAATTAATTGGTTATAACTATACTTGTTTGGTGAAAAATACAATGTAGTCTAAGTTAATAACTTATAGTTAAATTGTCCAATTAAATATGTACACTAAATATTTCCGAAAGTTATATCAACCATTTTAGTATGTTTTTATGTATTTTTTGTATATAAAAAAATAAATATTTATTCATCATCTTGTAATTAATCAAATTGCACTTTGAATTGTTACTTATTAGAAGAAGTAGATAACATAAATATCATGGGTTATTTTATGACAATAATTTAAAATGGCCATATAAGTTTTTTGACAAAGACTATAAGAAAATTAGTCATTTTTGGTTAATTGAATCCAAAGATTTTTAACATCAAAGAAAACTCCTATAACTTGTTGTTTTTTATCAAGATTATCACGTACATCACGGTTAAATAGAAAATGTGAATTACTAGTAGATCTATCATTAATAAAACCAAACTGGTAAATATATAATTGTAGGTACTTACCGAAAGATGAGTTTATTTGTTTTGATACAAGATTGAATCAATATAAGATCTTATACACGTCGACGTGAAAACTGATCTAAACTAAAATCGTTACACTATGTTGGAGTCTTGGAGGTCTAAAACCACAATGAATATGAAAATACAAAACAAGAACTATTGGACTTTTGCATTTTCACTGCGACTAGTGGGCAGTATATCACGATTTGTGAAATAGCTCAGCAGAACGTTCGCCCAGCAATTCGAACGGGAAGAGATGTTGATCTAGGGCACAATGCTTTACGTACTGTCAATCCTTTGGGCACGTGAACACAACCGAGTGTGCGACAAGTTGTCACAGAAGTGGACGTGTTGGACACACGAACAGCTGTATACTAAGGCCAGGAAGATTGAAACTGGTCAAATGATGAACATAATGATGACCGAAATCCTAAATCTGGAACTCAGACCGGAAGTGTACGGCCATCGATTGGAAAACATCCATAGTTCCGGCAATATTATTGAACTGTACTTGACGATGGCTGTATGAAATCTGCCGGAAAAAGTTGATTTAAAAGTCTCCCTGCAATTAATGATGAGTTCAAAGATGAGCATAGTCAAGGCCCACGATGACGGCCCCTTGACTGGACAGTTTACCAAATCACTTATGAATCTCTCGAGAGAACAATGTTTGCAGGGTTTCAATAACTATAGAAGACGGTTGGGGCTGCCTGCTTATACAACAGCTTTTTCGATCTGACCGGAAACTTCGAAACCGCAACCTAATTAGAAAAATTATATAGTACTGTGGAGAAGGTGGAGTTTTTAACAGGCGTGTTGACGGAAAAGTCCAGTTCCGGAGTTCTTATCCACGGCCAAAGTCCTGTCGAACAGTTTTATCGTTAACGCAATACTGACAAATCGTCTCAAACCAAACACTTGTGGGCACCGGACACGTTCGGTGGAGTCGAATTTTTTAACTTGGTGAAGTCTACCAGTGTAGAGTCATTGATATGTCGAAACGTAGACAATTTCGACGAGTTTAAAGCTCATCGTTCCGCGAAATAAGTCCTTTTTTTATAATATAATATCGTTACTTGTTGAAATATACAATTAATATGTAGTATATGTAGTCAGCCTTGACACGTGTGTACAATTTAGTAACTAGTTATGTACGAGCATAAGACTCACTCTCTTTACGGATGTAACATGACCTCGGTCGTGCATATATATAGGGCCTTTGATGTATGTAATATTCACTTGCACAGGCGTCGTTGTACAGAGCGTATACGATGTGTGTGTACTGTCACAGTTTAATTGTCCAGTTGTACGTTATTATATATTATACTTATACATAATCATATTGTCGTGTTATTACTTATTATATTAATGCTAAGATCATTAGTCCGTCAAGCTTCACTTTCAACAGGTTATGGGCCCAGTCAATAACCAAGACAAACAGTCTAGTGGATTCGTGATCGAAGTATTTTTTATATTTGTATTAACGCAGAAAACTACAACCAGTCGGAGATATCCTGGACTTCGGAAAACGGCGGAACAGTGTACATAGGTAAAGTTTTGTTATAAATTGTTATACAGGAAAGTATACGGGAATCCATCGGTCATGGAAGACACGGTGAAGATAACAAAATTATGTGCGGAAAACTGGTCGTTATGGAAGTTCCAGATGAAGGTCATTCTAAATGCCTTGGAAGTAGGTGAGATAGTTTCAGGTGAATGGACGAAACCAGGTCTACCTATAAAAAAGTCGGCAGGAGAGACCGACGAGGAAGCCAAAGCACGTTGGCAAAGGCATACTAGCGCTTGGCAAAAAGCGGACGGTAAATGTCAGAAAATAATAGTTACCTCAGTGGACGATGGTCCATTACAATATTTGATTAACTGTGAGACTGCATTGGAAATGTGGGAGAAACTGCTGAGTATTTACGAGCAGAAGTCTGAAGCAAGTATACATTTGCTTCAACAACAATTTTTCAGTTATTCAAAGGAGTCGACAGATGACATGTCGACGCATATTTCTAAATTGGTCAATTTAGGAAGGAAACTGAGAGTAGCGGGTGAACCAGTTACGGATAACATGGTTATGACAAAAATACTAATGACACTACCAAAAGAATATAATCATTTTTACAGTGCTTGGGATTCAGTCCCAACGGGAAGTAAAAATATAAATAATTTGACTAGTCGATTGTTGATTGAAGAATCACGGGTTATCCAGATCAAAGGTGAAGTTGGTGAACAAGAGAAATCGAGTGCATTTCCGGCCAAATTTCAAAACAGATCTGATGGAAGAAACGGCAGTCGTAATTATGGAAAAGGTAAAAATCAATTTACGAATAAAAGTAATATTAAGTGTTATTACTGTGGTAAACTAGGTCATTATAAAAGAGACTGTAGAAATTTTCTACAAAGTGTACACGGTGGTAAAACCGGTAAGATAGGTGCGAACTTGAACGCATTCGTAAGCGAGTCAAGTATAAATAATATTGCAACAGATGCGTGGGTACTAGACTCGGGCGCTTCGGATCATATGAGCGCAAATCGAGAGTGGTTTTCAAGTTATGAACCACTGGACAACATGCAACAAATCACGATAGGTGATGGGACGAATCTGTATGCAGCAGGTAGAGGTAATATTAATATATTATCATACGTAAACGGTAATTGGAATAAAAATTACATGGCAAACGTGTTGCACGTGCCAGGACTAAAATTTAATTTATTTTCGTGCGGAGCCGCGATGGATAAAGGTTTAGTATTGACGTCAGATAGTAAGACGTGTATGTTAACTAAACAGGGGAAACCCGTATGCTCAGGTAAGAGATGCGGAAGGTTGTAATGGGATTACGCAATATCATATATTGGGATTACGCAATATCATATATTTGCTCATAATAACAACCAGGAATGCGACCACACCCAAAAGTGTTTTCGACTACGAATACCACTTTCATAGTCGTGAGGTCCATATCAAGGACGACGGTACACGCGCCGCTCACTTTCAAAGGACGCCGCCACCATATATATAGGGGACAGCGAGACAGCCTGAGTTAGATGTATCCAGAGACGAGAACACCACACGACTCGCTTAGCCGCCCAGCCATCACACACGACTTACACGGAGATTATCAACTTCGGAACGAGCTACAAATTCACTACAATCAACACTATTATTCTGCTTGCTTTGTCTGGTTTAATATAATACATTTGATTACCATTCTAATTGACTATTATTATTTATCAAAGTACACCAGCTTTTGGATCCCTGAAGGGCCGCATGTAACACTGGCGCAGTCGAAGGTAGGATTCCACAAAGGGAGGCAACCATCAAAGGCTACTGTCAACAACGAAGAATTGATCACTCTTCAGCGAAGACAACTCCAGGAGGAACCAACAAAAAACAAATAAGTCACATTGCAGTACCAACAAACCCATTAGCAGCATCATCAACGGCAACATGTCATCATCAGCCATGAACGCAGCATTATTGTGAGTGAATAGTTATTTAAATTTGTTACATAGACGTATGCAACATAATTAAGACATATTAAGATAAATCTAGGTAGTTGATTATAAGTGTAATGGTGTAAACCGTTTTAAATATTATTGAGGGCATATTTTATTGATTATTATTGAAGTTTATTGAATTATTGAGGGCATATTGATTATTTGAAGTTTTATTATTGAGGGCATATTTTTATTGAAGTTATTATTGATTATTATTTATTGAGGGCATTTTTATTATTGAAGTATTATTGAAGTTTATTGAATTTATTAGAGGGCATATTATTGAAGTTATTATTGTATTTATAGGGCATTATTGAATTTTATTGAGTATTATTATGATTATTAACGTATTAAATAGGTGGTTAAGTTAATTTATGGACAAAGAAGATACATCTCCCTTGAACGTAGCTAATTCATTGTATGACACTAGTGTAGTAGAAGAAGCCCAGTTAGAAGCCCAGTTATTAGCCCAGAGAGAAGCCCAAGCCCAGTTTGAAGCCCAACAGAAAGCCCAGTTAAATACTATAGTAGATACCAAGTTAGTAGGTAGCACAAGTAAAACCCCAAGTCCACAATTAGGAGTAGTCACACGTAGCAAAGTCACAGATAGTTTTGAACATCAGTCGTTAGATTTTATATCTAAATCACGCAATAAAAAATGGCAGTAACCATAAAATTAGAAGACGCTTTTAAATTAATTCCAGTATGCACAGGGATAGACGATATTTACCAATTCATAAATGCATGTGATATGGCAGTAAGTCTAGTCGACACAAATAGTGCACCAACACTAGTTAAATATATTACCACACGTTTAACGGGTAGAGCATTAGAAATGATTAAATACAAAAATGTATCGAAATGGCAGTTTATAAAAATTTATTTAACAGACGCATTCGAAGTGACAACCAATGCATCGTCGTTGCAACTTCAATTAAATTCGATTAGAATGAATCACAATGAGGATGTAAACGATTATTGTCATAGAGTAGAGAAATTATATTATCAGTTATGTACCGTAAGCACATTAGGCAAAGAAGCTGCAGAAGCAAAAATTATATATGATATATTAAGGGAACAAACTCTAGCGATATTTATTAAAGGATTAGTAGAACCGATTAGAACAATAATTATTTATCAAAGTACACCAGCTTTTGGATCCCTGAAGGGCCGCATGTAACAAGGTTGTTTGAGTTAAACATCAAGGTCGAAGTACCGACAAACGGGTACGCGACGGTAGCTGTCGAAAACAGGTTGTCTGTTTGGCACGAGCGCATAGCACATCAGAATTTACAGTACGTAAAAAGTTGTTTGGCGAAACACGAAATAGTATGTTCGGCCAAGGACGACGAATTCATGTGCAGCAGTTGTATAATAGGTAAACAAAGTCGTAAATCATTTAGTAAAAGTAATACGGAGTATCACAATGTCGGTGATTTAATCCATGCAGACCTATGTGGACCAATGGAGGTAAGCTCTATAGGCGGTTCAAAATACTTTTTGTTATTCAAAGACGACTACTCGCATTATAGAACGGTATATTTTATTAAAAATAAATATGATGTTAAAAATATTTTTGAGACGTTCATAAAAAGTGTTGAAACAGAAACAGGTTCTAAGGTCAAAATATTACGAACGGATAATGGATTAGAATTCGTAAATAAAGAAATTACGGGTATTTTGCAAAAACACGGGATTCGACATCAGTTAACAGTTCCCTACACACCACAGTAAAATGGAAAAGTGGAACGGGAAAATCATACAATAGTAGAGTCAGCGAGGACAATGATTTGTGCGAAAAATTTGGATGTATCACTTTGGGCGGAGGCGGTAAACACGGCGGTTTACACGCTTAATCGAACGGGAACCAGTTCAGTTAAAAATAACTCACCATACGAGTTATATTATAAGGTAATGCCAGACATTAAACACTTACGAGTTTTTGGTACTGTCGTATATACACACATACCAAAGCAAAAACGTAAAAAGTGGGACCCTAAAAGTGAAAAAGGAATATTTGTT